CGCTTATTTATCACTCATATGTTACTATCAGCAATCGCGAGTGATTAGGCACTTTGGTGGTTATAGACAATTACTAAGTGTTTAGCGTCCTTAGCATAAACTGCTTAATTTTTCAGACCCACGCAACCAAACTGAAATTTCTGTGATGCTAAACACTGTAACTCTATGAACAGTGCTAATATCCCAACTTCACCGCAGAGGCCTCAACCCGCAGAAGCAAAAGAGCATCTTTTCAATTTTTCCACACGAGGTAGTGTCGTTCCTCAATATAAAGAAATTCATTGATGATTTATAACCGCTCAGAAAACCAAGATGTGAGTTAGCTCAAGCTCCTGACAGTCTGAAATGAGAACTATGCATTTTGGAGACAATGAATAGTGATACCCAAGTTACTGATGCTCTCTTTACCCTGATACCTGCAAATTTCTACCCTAGACCGGCTCAATACGACGCTTATCCTAGTGGGGCCTTATGTGCTTCATTACTTCAAGTCTGAGGGCACGGGTTGACGGTTATCATAAGTGAACGGTGGGTCCACGTAACATTGGGGATCGTGCCACCTGCTACTCATCATATAACAATACATAATTTTTAAAAAATAACAGATAGTTTACCAGTATTATAACCCTCTGTGTATTTTCAGAGACCCGAACAATAGTATATTTCCAGGTTGGAGTTCCCGATCTACAACGTCATTTGTAAAAGAGTTAAAGTGAACTAGTGCACTTATTCGGTCGGAACCAATCACAGAGTCGCAGAAGGAAATACCTTTTTAATAAGACTGCTCTTCGTACAGTGCAGTTAGATAAAGCGAATTCTTACGGTTTTATTGTTTTCTATCATTTTTAGACATTTGTTTTGGCGTGATAAACCCCATTCTGAACCTTTGTTGTCTCCATGAAACTTGGTGTCTCCAGGAAATAAATGATGTCTTCCATTTTGGTAATGATTTTTGAAAGGCATCAAGAAGTCCTCTCTAAATTACACGAATACTATGTAGTGCATCTACTACTTAGCAAGATCGTGAATCTAGAAAAAACACGGAACTGCATCGTCTGCCGGATAACTATTGGAAAGAAACTACAGAAATTAGCTTAAAAATAAATTCACATTACCTGTCTTTCATCTTACATCACTGTCTGTCTCAGACTATCTCATAAGACATTTTGGTTTTGTTTGCGTCTTGCCCCATTAGCTTTATCGGTCCCCTGTTATCTTCCCCGGTCTTTTTAAAAAGTTTCTACCATTATGCAGTTTTATACAACGGGGACACTTGTTACAGCATGTGGTGACACATTACCTCAAGTCCCATGAAACATTCTCCAAGAAGATTTTATCTGATTTTTCCCATCCTCTACATCTTGTTCTTGGTCAGTGTCTTGCTTATCCATACACCCGTTCCAGTTCCAAACTTATAAAGGCACGCATGGAGGCTTATTGTCCCGTCTCTCGCCAGATTTCTCACAAACCATGAACTTGTTGCGGGAAAATCTGTGCAAAAGGTCAAAATACATCAATGATTAACACCCTTGTGTGCCATTGGTTTTTTATGTTGCTGTCCATTTCACTTCTCCTAATTGTTTTATGATATTTCGCATTCTTTTTTAAGTGTTAACACACCGCAGTTAG